GGAAAGGTACCACTAAGTCATGAAAATTCAAGGAAATACTGCCTGAATTTTTAAATGTAATTTGAAAACACGACATTTTTTTTCTTTTCTTACAGGTACCAGTGGTGCGTGCAATTCTCTACATAATTGCTCAATCCACCGGAGCAATAGCTGGATCAGCAGCGATTCGAGCACTTTCCTCCCAGAGGATGGAGAGTGCCATCGGAGTTGTTTCATTGAGTCCAGGCATGACTCCAGTCCAAGGGATGGGTATTGAATTTTTCCTAGGGCTCATCCTGGTGATCGTTGTCTGTGGTGCCTGCGATGGAGCTAAACCAGAGAGCAAGGGCATCGCACCCCTCATCATCGGTCTTGCAGTGACAGTCGGCCATATTGTCGGCGTGAGTTGACAGTCCTTCCCTGCTGTTGTCAATCAGCTATTCGTATTCACTGACATTTAATCTTCAGATACCGAGGACAGGCTCGGGGATGAATCCAGCTCGTGCACTGGGAAGTTCTGTGGTCATGGGACATTTTGATAATCACTGGCTGTACTGGGTGGGCCCAATTTTAGGAGGAATGGCTGGTGGCCTTGTCTATACGCATGCCCTGGGACCCGCTAAAATACCGGAAGACACTAGGACTTATGCTGTTGTCGCTGGCGAGGAGAAAGAGGTATTTTAATCAGTTGGGCATTAATGAGTGTGAATTTACACTGAATTTGAAAGATCCCACCGATTTTTTACGTAAGATTTTCACACGTTCAAAAATAATCCAGTAAGATAATCCAGAAGTACCGAGACATTTCTAATAACAGAAATGTTCTCACAAAATTTACAATGAACACAGGAAATGATTCACTCACGTTAATCCTCCTGCGTACAATAATTACAATCCCATTGTAAAGACGATTGACTCATCTTCTCATTTCAACTTTTCAACAACAAACACGGAAGAATATTCTGAGATTCATAAGATACCTGTTGTTGTTTTGATTTAACAGCGATATTCTTTATTGAGACATATTTTTCGCGATACCTTGAAACAATTTTTTTGTAATATAAAATAAACATTTTTGAATGAACTAAAAGTTGTTTGGACTCGACGCATCAGAACAGTTTAATTTAATTTAAAAAAAGTGTATTGTGTGTATCCTCCACCCCCACAGCGGTTCGAGTACATAGACAGTGGCAGGCAAAGATGATTGACTAAAGTAGAGGCTCAGTTCTGGGGTCATTCACACACCCAGAACCGAGCCTTTACTTTAGTCAATCCTTTTTGGTGGCAGGGGTGGACTTTGAGAAGAATCTCATGCGGAAAACTATATTTTTCCAGCTCCAGCGACTCACCAGGAAGGGTCAGCCGGCTTGAATAACGCTCTATAACAATTTCCTCTGGTTTTAATCTCGAAATAAACGTGACATTATTGGTACGAGACAGTAACCAGCATGAATTCGCTTTCGTCCTGCACGTCAATATCACCGGAGTGCATCGATGTTGTCATTATCCTATTTATTCACTGCCAATTCGATATATATTTATGTAATCGTTAAAATTCATCATCTGAGTGTACATAAGTGTCCGTTCCATACTTCTGATATTTACAAAGATATTTACGAAACACAGATTGAGTTCTAATTACGAATTTTCATGACTTGTGGACCTGAAAATGTTCGATAATGAAGTATTTAATGTTCAATGTATTAAGATGTATTAATATAGGAAATAAATAGGTTTTATATATGTGATAAAATGTGTATTGTTGTGAAGACAGGGAGACTGAATGAAAAATCAATTTTTTACACTTACACAGCACACTTTGTATTTCGATACATCATTCAAATAGTTTCATGTTCTTCAAGTAATCTACATATTATATTTCCCATGAATTCGCGTGATTACATTCGTCTAAGGATGCACGATTCTATTGCCACGTGTGTACCATAATAAATCTCGATGAAAAGTCAAGGTCCTCAATAATGAAGTCTTAATGATTTCGAATCAATTTTCAATCCCGTGAAAATACGGATGTTCATTGCATATGTACATTAATTGCCATTTCGTCCAAAAGTGTCGAATAATGCTAAAACATCTCCGCATATTTACAAATTGTGTACATTGACGGACCAAAAATTTCGGAGATTTCATCCGGAGATTTCATTCTTATTTCGGAGATTAATAAAAAAATTTTCCATTGAGATTGAAAAAATTCCAACGACTCGACATTCATCGCAGCATCCAGAGACTCCAGTGAATAGAAAATAATTATCTCGAGGTGTGCACTCATTGTCATTATATTTAGAAACAAAAGACTTGTTCAATCAGTTTTAATCCCTCCAATTACTAAATTAAAAGTTCAGTGTTAATGAACCAACGAAAAGGGCTGTGTACAAATCCCCACACGTAAGTCCTTACAATTATTCTCAAGATACTCCTCGTATCTTCTAAAATATCTGCATAAAAATAATCAAGATCCTTAAATCATCGGAAAAAAAACTATCTCTAAATAATCCCCCAGACTTGTTACACATTCAAAAATTTGACCACGAGGAAGAGCCAGATGCATAAAGTCATACTCATACGCACCGATATTGTTGGATTCAATTATTCTATCATTCACGGAATCTATTCAATATTGATAAAAAAGAAGTAATGTCCTGAAGTATTGACTAAATGACTGCGAATTCAAGTATAAGAATTCCCTAACGAGAGAGAATGCGGTCCCATCAGGATTTTGAAAAAGTCAAGGATGACATTAACCTGAATTTTAGATAAGATCTTTACGTCATTTCCATTATGATTTTTCGATTTTTTAATAAATTTTTCTAGATATCCTTTTCAATTTATTAAAAATTAAATAAGTTTCTTATCAATAACTTGAAAACAAAATCTAGAAAAATTCTTGCTAAATCAATACGTATTTCGAAAACTCCTCTGAACGGCCTTCGTAAGTTCACGTTGAAAAAAAAAAACAAATAATAAAGAAAACCTAACGCTTCATCCAAAGTGGTTTGAAAAATTCACTCTGATTATAGTCCTTACCGAGGTACATTTGAGTAATTATTTGGTAGAGAAAATTCAAGGGGTATTGTATTTCTGTGTGAATTTACTTGTAATGACGGAAAAGGTCACAAATCAATTTACTTGATTCACCTCGAAGAATCGATTTGTCTCCGAATCTCTGCTATTTTTTCTTTTAAAAAATGTATGCCTTTCAGTGGTGACAAATCGGTACAGAAAAATCTACGACAAAGTGTTTTAAATATTCTCACTGGAAATTCTCAAAACAGAAAGAAAGAAATAATTCCGAATTCTTCGAAGGAAGCGTTAGAATTTCTTACGAAAATACATCCACAATGTGATGCCATCATTTCTCAACTCATAAATCTTTTAATCCCTGGAGGAGTCTCCTCACCCCGCAATCTTCTGCAGTTCATCCTCAAGACTATCCTGGCTCTCATTAGTCTCATTCAAATTGATAGTTTCATTGCTCTGCGAAAGTGCTATAACGGATTCATCGAGATTTCCATCCTTCTGACAGATAGAGCTGTCAGCTGTAGTCTCAAAGATATCAGTTGACTCAGAGAGCGCCTGTTCCTCAGCCATTGGCTCATGCCCCTGATCCTCACCAGCCTGCACCTGTTCCGCCTCCATCTCCATGGGTTGCACCTCCTGCGTTAAACGTTCCGTCTTGATCTCCTCCGAATTCTTCTCCACATCAGTGACCATCTCATCCCCATGCTGCTGTTCCTCCTCCACACTCTTATCAACATTATCCTCAGTCACCTCCTGACCCTCACTGATCCCTGACATTTCCGTCAAATTGCTTAGCACATTCTCCTGCATCTTGACGACATTATCCGTCGACTCGAGTATACTACTCAACTCCCTACTCATCTCCTCAACTTCCGACGGATCCTCCGTTTTAATGAAAGGCATTTTCTTGTTACCCGCATCTGTATCCTTGGATTTATCAGAGCCCCCCTCGCCCTCCCTCTCGTCTGTCTTGGTTTCAGTGTCATTATACTCCTGCTCCTCATCATACATACTCTTATTTCGCTTAACGAATACTCGTTTAAGAGGCAACTCCTGCTCATCCTCAGAGTCATGCCGTTCAGGGAGTGACATCTCATCGGCTGGATCGTACTCCTGCTGCTTCCTTGCCTGGAGTTCCTCAATTTTAATTCTCTGCGCCTCCACCCTCTTTTCCAACTGCTCAAGCTTCTCTTTCGTTTCCTGATCGTCCTTAGATATGACAACGGGGGGTTTTTTCACTTCGATTTTCTGAATAACAGGTTTCTCGGGGACTCCCGCACTGGATGAGGCTTGCGAAGTCTTCAATTCAAACTTATTGGATTCTGGGACAACATTGCGAGCCTCAGAACTCGATTGGAGGACCTGAACGACATTCTGAACTTTCTCCACAGGCTTTTTCACCACAACTCTCTTAACAACATTACCAGTGGGAAGTTTCGCCAACTCAGCAGGATCAATAATAGTTCCATCAGGATTCATAATAACTTCGCGAGTGGTGTCTCCCTGCCTGATAATTCTCCTGACGATTACTCGTTTGGTGACCTTCGCACCAGGTGTCACAGCAGTCTTTTCAGCCTCCTTGATTTCCTTGGTGGTAGTGGTGGTGGTCTCGGTGCCGCCTCCTGGTTTCCTCACTACGATTCTCTTGATGACCTTCACAGTATTGACCTTGGGAGTTCCCTCAGTAGACTTGACCTCCTCCTTCACCTGCTTCTGGGTGACCTCAGCCTTTTCTGCAGCTTCAGTCTTCAACGACAGCTTGTGCTCTTTGAATACCGAAGCCACGATCTTCTGTACCTCAGCCTCAGTATCATCAACACCTCGCGTGGCCTTTGGTGATTCCTCCCTCTTCACCTGTGCCTTACCCTGAACATTTCTCGGTGAGCTTCTGGTCTCCTGTCTCTGAATCGGCATTAACGTTTTAATAGTTTTCTTGACGATAGTGCCATCCTTGCCACGAACAAAAACAACCTGATCCTTCCTGTCATCCTTCTCAAGCTCCTCCTCACTCTCAGACGGTGGCTTGGCGACCTTTGGCAGCTTCTTGACGACATACGCCGGTGGCTCGTAATCATCATCCCCATCTGAGTACTGCTCCTCCTCCTCCTCCTCCTCAGACTCAGTCTCGATCTTGTCCTTGAGATCCGGCTGGAGGCCATCAGGTCCCATCTTCTCACCAGCCTCGATATGCTGTTTGATATGAGTCACATAATCGGCACGATTGCGACACGATTCCTGGCAGACGTCACAAGTTAGACCCATCCCCGATCTTTTGGTGTGTGTGAGCTGATGTACCTCAAGGCTCTCCTTGCGCTTGAATGCTTTGCCGCAGTCCTCGCAGACGTGGCGTTTCTCAACAGAGTGCGAGCGCATGTGTCTCGTCAAGTGGTGGGAAAGCAAAAAAGTTCGTGGACAGAGTTTGCACATATAAGGACGATGACCAGCATGAGTGGTGAGGTGGCGAGCTAATTTCGTGCTTGTGCGGAATGCCTCCTTGCAGTATTCACAGGTGAATGTCTTGTCCTCGTTGTGCAGCATCTCGTGGCGTTCGAGTCCCTGCTTGTATGTAAATCGTTTGTTGCATATGTTGCATTGGAAGGGTTTGGCTGTCTTGTGAGACGTGTCCTCGTGCTTTTCTAACTCCTCAGGGGTGAAGAATTCACGATCGCAGTGCTGGCAGGCATAGCGCATGTCCTCACGGTGGACCTTCTCGTGGCGCTGGAGGAGGTTCGCCCTTGTGAATGACTTGTTGCAGATCGTGCAGATGTGAGGCTTGTCCGTTGAGTGAGTTGCCATGTGCTTCTGCAGATCGTATTTGGAGAAGAACATTCGGTCGCAGATGGTGCATTTGTAGTTGCGATCGCGATGAGCTCGTTGTATGTGCAATTGCAGGGCCTGACGGAGGGGAAATGTTCGCTCGCACTGGTCACACGCGTGCACACGTATTTCACCAGGTTCAAGCTTGCGATCTTCCTGGTCTCCCCCGGTCTCCTGATCGCCCTCACTATCGTGCTCGGTCTCCTCTTTGTAGAGCTCGCGCTCGGACTTCATTGACTGGGACTCACGCTCTCGACGCTCCCTGTCTCCATTGTCCACCCGGGGCTTTTTCGACTGCTCCGAGGATGGCCTCTGCTCCGCTGGCCGCTTATTCGAACCCTCCGGTACCTCGTTCGTTATCGGTGGGAATGGACGTGGAAGTGTGCCAGTCATCGGGTAGGCACGCAGGGCCTCGTCTGCTTTTTTGCATTGCTGTTTGAATTTGTAGGAACGGTCCAGATTCCAGCGGCACATCGTACAGATCATCTGCGGCATTCCGTCCGCTGCGTATATCTGCGGGAGTCAGTGATTGTACGAGTGAAATTAGTAAGGGGACTCTGACCGTTTTAAAATAAAAATTGAAACAATTACTTTAATTGAAGTTGTTCAAATTTCAAACTGTAAAAACATTGCAGTGAAATAAAAAAAGACTCGACAAGAAAATGACCATAAACATTCCCTTGAAATTCACATTATTCATCAAAGATTTCTCTCTCAGTTAAATCGACTCGTCATCTTCTCCCTTCCCTACCGAATTCCATCTCAATGCACAATTTCAATAATCCCCATCCCCAATCTCATTCCCGCGTAATCCCTCACGCGTACGATCCCACGAAAAATTTCCCCGACGACGTAACAACTCCTTTCCCTCTTACGCTCAGTCGTCAACCACGAGACCTTCATTATCAACAAATCTCTCACGCTATTGACTCGCCTCTACATCGCCGATTGTCCCTACATCAATTACCCTACCCCCAAGAGCTCAATTTTCTTCAAAAACCAAAAGGAAATAAAAAAAAAAACAACCAAAACTGAAAATCAATAATAATAATGATTGTAAGAGAGAAAATGAGTTGAAAGGAGAAATAGGAATTACCTCGATGGCAACGCAGGACATAATCTGTAGAGCAAGTGGCACTTGGAAGGGCTTGTTGGGATCCCTCTCGTATATAAAGTTCAACGGCTCAGACTCGGTCAGGCAGAATCGACAAACCCGCCTGGAACGTAGTGGCGCCGGTCTGTTCTCCATTATTTCCAGCTTATTCTTTATCAATAAATCTCACACACTGAATATCCCTCGATAATCAGACAATATTCGATGCTCACGATGATTTATTTCACTTCACAAGTATTACCTCGTTTTTTCTCATCAATGGGAAAGGACGCCGAGCGTCGGTAAGGCGTCGCGTCACGACAGCGCAGTGGGACAAAGTATACACCGCTATGGCGGAGATGGACTTGGACTCGATTTGCCTTGCGTGGCGTCTCCGGGTGAAAATATTTTATCCCAAATGCACTAGCGCCAATTAGTCATTATCCAGTGGCGCCTTCACTCTATGAACAGTCGGTCAATCATTTATGCAGTTTGACCCGATGACGTCATCGGCGCGCCATATGCTCGATCCGTTTGAATTATCTAATGGTAAAGCGGAAATTGCTCGTTGTACATATCATCGGTTGTTTATGGATTTTTTTAGGGTCGTTTTATCGTCGCGTGGTATTTTCAATTTATTATTTTTAATGATTGAGAGTATCTGAGTTAAAAAAAAATATTTACAGTTGTTTATTGATATTATTTATTTATATATGAGAATAGGGAGTTTTTTCGTGATGCAAAATTCAATTTGAAAATGAACAGTTAATTCGTCGAATGGAGAACTTCATTTTTGTGAGCATTTTTCATTCATAATTAGTACTCTCTTTCTTTGAATCATGAATTATTGAAACAATGTTCGCCGTTTCAATTCAATTTCGACGGAAAACAGAGGTTCAATCTTGGAGTTTCTATTATTGATCAAACCAGTACCACTTTGTTCACGAAGAAATACAACATAAATACAGGCAATAAATTTCACCCATAAGACTCATAAATCGTCGGTTAAAATGCACTTTTATCCCGCCCCGTTGAGAGAAGTTATTTACAATCGGGCATGAATTATGAAAACGTCATTTGGCAAATCGAAATTTTTGGACAGAAAGTAGTCATTGGTAACTTTTACAAAAGTACTTTATTCAAATTGTATAGAATACATTAATAAAGTTACCGTAAAGTTAATGCGACAGGGGAACAAATCGAATGCGTTCCTGTAGAGACGTCAAAACGAGATGAGCCGATTTCACTCGGACTTCAGTTTTTTTGCATTATAATTATGCCGTTGCAACAATTAATTGAAACACAACAGGTTTCACGGCGATTTCATTTCATATTCACTAAGAGTGTAATTTATTCTCCTCCTTCAAAATAATAAGGAAAAAGTCTGAAGTTCATCACACTCTTCTCGTTTTCCCTCCCTACCCATTTGGCAGTATATGAATCGAAAAAAATTTCTGTATGGCACAGCGCAGGAATTAGTACACTCCGACAAGACACTTGCAGCGATAAAATAGTTTTTATATAACTTACCTACTGGATAAAATATTTTTATTCTATATACATTAATATTCCTCCCCCTGGCCTTAATGAAAAAAAAATCGATCATGACTTCCAATTATTATTAATTGTTATAAATTCCGGAAAGAATTTTTCTGCTAAGCAAATATTTTCATGACAATAGAAATTCCTTCTAAATCCAACGGAAACTTAACTCATAAAGTGATTTGGTACATAATTGAATTATTACAAGACTACCTCTTAAAAAAATATCAAATTAATATAATTGTTGGTTTACAGAATGGATTCCTGCCCTGGAAAATAATTACCTGACAAAATCATGACTTTTTCTCATCTCTAGATCATTCTCTGGTGAAAGGACTTCGAGTGGAGTTAGCCTGGGTAGGCCTTCGAACTTGGCCCCTTCGACGATGATTGTTTGGAACGCGTCTACCAGGAACTCGAATTCTACCTCCAGGGAAGTTGCGAGGCTGTGCTGGACCTCTCTGAATGGGGTGTGGGTTAACTGGTGCTGGTGGAATGTAGCGCGAGCCATTGGAGGTAAAGGGTTTCAGCCTGTTGCCATTGTCCTCAATTATTCGGCGTCGTATGCATACGGCACATCTGCTGACTCGTGACGTGTGATCGGCTTTTAGGGTCTGAGGCTGTGGTTTACGGAACATCTCGTGATCCTCAATGGTTGCAAGCCAGTAGGAGATTGCGGTGGAGAAGTAGTTGCATGTACCAAGACCGCGACACTCGATGAAGGGGCGAGTGCGGAATTCCTCGAGACATGAACCCGGCGATATTAGCGATTGGCCACCGCCTGCTGCACCTGCGTCCCTATGCTGCAATGAGATTATTAAATAAAAATGATTAAACAATTGGGATTCCAGAGGACCACTGTCAACTTTAAGAGTATTTAGCCATAAAAATAAAAATTAGAAAGTGAAAAAATTAAAACCGAGCCTTTTGTTGAAATACATTTTTCATGCCATTAATGTCGACAATTAATTTCGTAGACAAGCGGTAAAATTTAATGACTCATTTTTTTGGGGAATTTAGAAGGAATGTCTTCGAATGTAAGTGATACAGCGAATTTTTTCAATCCAACAAAAATATCCATTGAAAAAAGAAAAATTTCCGTGGTGAGATAATCTGTGAATTCTCAAATAGTTGCTGGCATGCCTCAGAGCTGGTCTTAAAATATTGGAATAGGTGAAGACGACTGTTGTGTGAGACAGAGTACGTATAAATTTAGCTTGATGCCGTATAATTTTGCCGCAGAATTATAGTCCGTTACAACTGATAGATTTGAACTAATTGCTGTGTTTAGCAGCGCGCTGTGAAATGTTGACATTTACAGGTATTTCAAGCGTTTCAACATGAAACTAGGGTATTAAATTCGTTTTGAACCAAATTATTGTCATGAAAACTTCAAGATCGTAAATACTCGTGAAGTAAGACCGAAAAAGTTGTTTGAAGTTCTGGTGTATTCTGAAGTTGGAAATGTTGTTGAGAAGAGAAATGGGTTTCCGATTTATGGTGTGTCGGAAAAGCGGGTTTAGTAGAAATTTCATTCGACATTATACCGAAATAGGATTATTTTTTGATTGATTTCTGTGAAAGAATTTGGTTTCTCAAATTTTCGAGGTATGAAAATAAATAATTGAAGGCTTACCATGAGGAAACTGTAACCAATCCAGGCTTCTTCCCATCCACCAGGGCAATCTGGAATCCGCATCGACTGACTATGTACCGCAATCATTCTGGTTGGGGCTTCACACACGGTGCACCTAGAGATATACCTTCCAGCCTCTGGTGCTGGAATTGGTGTCATCATCATTGGCATTGGTTCCGTTGAACTTAACCAGTAGCTGTAGTCATTCCTCTGGGCATAATCGCAAACATTATTCAGATTGCAGAACAGGAAAGGCATCACCGAGAATTTTCGTACACAACTTCCAGCTTGTCCTGTAATCGAAAAATCGAAATTTCCGTTTTCATAACGTCTTGGTATGAATTGAGTTCAGGTTTTTTTATTGAGATATTCACCAAGATCTTGAGCCCATGGATGTGAATTACCCATAATATGGAGTAATGAGAATCCGTCCCACAATTTAGTGGTCCCCCGTGGACAAAGAGGAATCATTTCAGATTGTGAGTGTCTGGCGAAGTGGAATCCACGGCTGCTGGGTGCGGGTCCTGGTGGGGCGTCTTCTCCACGAGGTCCTTGGAAACCCGGGACTCCTGGGTAACCAATGGTACCACGTGGACCCTGAGGTCCTGGCGGTCCGTCTTCTCCATCGGGACCGGGAAATCCTGGAAGTCCGTCTACTCCACGCTGACCCTCAAGACCTGGCAGACCATCGACCCCTGGCATTCCCATCATCCCCGGAGCTCCAGGTGTTCCTTAATGCGACAGAAAGAATGTTCAATCGAGGAGTTCTCCCTAAAAAAATTTTCAGGAAAGAGACCAGTTTACCAATTAAGCCTGGGAATCCATCGTCTCCTTGAAGTCCTTTCCTGGGAAATAGAGGGTAGGGACTGGTACCTCGATCTCCTTTAGGTCCCTATTTAAAGAAACATTCGGTATTTTTCCATGAAAATCGATCCAATAGATTTTTTAAATAAAAATCGTTCAATTAAAAATGATGTACCTTCGGTCCATCAAAACCTGGCAAACCAATAGGTCCAGGTTCTCCAGTATCTCCTTGCATACCCTTCAACCCAGGGTAACCAGTTGCCCCTGATATACCAGCATCACCTCTCTCACCCTTAAATCCATGCCTGCCATCTGGCCCCGCAAAACCTATTTCACCCTGATCTCCTTTCCGACCGTATTGCGCATATCCGGGCTCTCCACGAAAACCTTTGGGACCGGTTGCTCCTGGGAATCCGTCGAGTCCTCGTAACCCTGGAGTTCCAGGGCGACCCTCGTATCCTCTTGGGCCTATTTATTGGAATTGATATATGAAGGTGTATGTACGTAAAATATTATACACACAAGTGTATAAAATCATTTTCTTTTTAGGGAAAGAAGTGGATAGGAGTATTTCTTATTTTTTTATTTTCTGGACATTTTAGATAATTTTTTAACGAAGTACATTCAAAATTAACAGTTTTACATTTAATTTGTGAGAAAAAAAAATTAATTAGAAGAAACGCACCAATATCACCAGGGAGACCCTTTGCTCCGGGGAAACTCCTTCCTGGTTCTCCTTCGATACCTATCGGTCCGTCAGGCCCATATTCTCCTGGGGCTCCCTTTTGCCCAGGCTGTCCAGGAATACCTGGACGCCCATCAAATCCTGGCAGACCTGGTTCACCACGTTCGGGATTTTGACCAGGAAGTCCTGCAGATTTGAAAAACGCCTTTTGATATTTTTTTTTGAAATTAATAGTTTTTCAAATCGATACTTAAGAAAATTTCGATTAGGTATTTTTATAAAATATTATATTACCTGGCAATCCAGGGTACCCAACATCACCAGGAAGTCCGGGGAGTCCTGGTAAACCTTCAAAACCTTCTGGACCCGGATATCCCATATCTCCACGCATTCCCTACGCGAATAGAAATAAAATATCCCATTCAATAATTCCTTCTTTCCGATTCAACACCGAAGAAGTGAGTTTCATATATTATTCTCGGTCCCCTTACCCTAGCTCCAGGATATCCTCGCAATCCTATATCTCCCTGCTCTCCCTTTCTTCCATGTAGCCCATGGAATCCCACATCACCGATTTCTCCTTTATCCGCGTCCATGTACGAGGGCAGCCCAGAATCACCCGCCATTCCCTTCAGCCCAGGAGCACCAGGGAAACCAGGCCTTCCCCGTGGGCCAATGTCTCCAGGCATACCTGGACGACCCATTAAACCAGGATCACCATCGAAGCCACGTTGTCCCTTTATGCCATCCCAACCGATGGGTCCCACTGGCCCAATTTCACCTTTCACCCCAGGTCTTCCATTGATTCCTGGACTTCCAGGTCTCCCTCGGTCTCCGCTGTCACCAACTTCTCCCTTTAATCCGTCTGATCCCATATCTCCAATTTCACCCTTGAACACGCAAATAGGAACTTGCCATTTTTCTCTATGAAATTAAATCAATTCCTCAGTATTAATTTTCTAATTTTATTTCGATACAGTTTTCATTTTATGCGTGAAAAATTTGAGTACTACGGTAATTAACCGTTCAATGTTGGCTATTGAACTGTTGATCAGAAATTAATTACTGAGGATGTGTCTTTACGTCAGTTCCACGTGGACATTAGCCGATTTTATTTTTTATTTTATTTGATATTTTAATATACGTGAAGGTGTTTAAAAAAAATAACTCACCTTCAGTCCAGTTATTCCGTTGAATCCATTCCACCCCGGCTCTCCCTTCTGTCCACGTGGCCCATCATACCCCACTGAATCCACTCCATTATCTCCAGGCAAACCAGGACGTCCATCAACACCTGGAGCTCCAGGTGCCCCAATTGCTCCCATGAATCCAGGCTGACCCATGTCGCCCTGAGGCCCGCTAAATGCGTCCTGTCCACGTTCACCAGGAGGACCATCGTACCCAATATCTCCAGTTATTCCAGGCAAGCCCACAGGTCCTTGAATACCTGGGAATCCAGGGTTTCCAGATTCTCCGATCGGTCCCTTCAACCCCATAGCCCCGGGAGATCCCTCCTCGCCAATCCACCCTGGCTGTCCAGAATCTCCGATCTCTCCTATATCTCCATCCTCGCCTTGTTTTCCCGGCACTCCAGGAATCCCTTCCATACCCGGGTACCCTTGAATTCCAATATCTCCATCCTCTCCTCGACGCCCGTGAAAACCAATCTCTCCCTTCAGACCTTTCATTCCATCGAAACCTGATACACCATCTGGACCGGTCATACCTACGTTTCCTAGCATTCCAGGGGCCCCCGATAATCCTGGAGGACCTGGGAAACCTCGGGGACCTTGGATGCTATCACCTCGAACACCTTTCGCTCCCTATTAACAC